ACACACTCACACTCTCGTCATGACAACTTGTGTGTTTTGTCATGTAAAGTAAAAGATTGATGATGTCACTCGTCATGTGATCAGATCACGTCTGTTCATTTATTCATTCAGAAACGTTTCCTCTGCAGTCGACCAATGAGAGCCTTGACCCAATCGGCTGTGGGGGGGGGGTGTCACTGTGGCGTTGGATCAGCTGATGTGTGTGAGCGTGTGTCTCACTTTATGTCCTGGTTCTCCTGCAGTGTTCCACTTCTCCCAGCGCTTCACCACCGTGGTTCCAGAGAGCTGCATGCTCATCCTGCTGGGCCTGGTCCTGGGCGGCATCGTCCTCATAGCCAATAAGAAGCAGCTGTATCAGCTGGAGCCCGCCCTCTTCTTCCTCTTCCTGCTGCCGACCATCGTGGGCGACGCCGGGTACTTCATGCCCGCCCGCCTCTTCTTCGACAACCTGGGGGCCATCCTGACGTACGCCGTGGTGGGGACGCTGTGGAACGCCTTCTGCACTGGCTTCTGCCTGTACGCCGCCAAACTGCTGGGGGTCATAGGTCAGTCACCAGAGGTCACAGGGTCAGAGAGGGTCAGCGACCTGGAGACTCTGATATTGATCAGCTGTGATGTCATCCTGTAACTATGACACGTTCAGGTACCAACAGAAAGAATTTGTGTCTCGTGTGTGTGTGTGTGTGTGTGTGTGTGTGTGTGTGTGTGCGTACAGATGAGCGTGTGCAGGCCGACCTCATGGACTTCCTGCTGTTCGGGGCGTTGATCTCGGCCGTGGACCCGGTGGCGGTGCTGGCCGTGTTCGAGGAGGTTCACGTCAACGACATGCTCTTCATCATCGTCTTCGGAGAGTCACTGCTCAACGACGCCGTCACCGTGGTGAGACACACACACACACAATACACACACAATACACACACACACACACACACACACACACACACACACACACACTCGGTCATGTCCACTTTGCTCTTGTTTTATTTCTGAGGTTATTTTAATAGTTGATTAAAAAACGAACCCATCATTTAAATATAAACCAGATTATGATTCATAGTCACAGACGTTAAGTTTGATCCTCGTCTGAGCAGCGGAGACGTTCTGACTTTTCCTCTGAGTCAAACGTTCCAACACGTTCAGGAGTTTTATTGTGAAATACAGAGCGACGCAGAGAGAGTTCACATTGACTCAGTAACGTGAGATTAAAGAGTTTGAGCAGATTAACTCTGCAGCTTTCTAATCCTCCGCAGAACTCAGAATTTGAGCTAATCTCACCAACACAGCTCAGTGTGGGAAGAAACCGAAACTGTGACCTGCACGAAGAAACATGTTTCCATGACGATTTACCATCTGAGGTTTACAGGAAGTGACATCAGTGCAGCTCAGTCACCGACACAGGCCACATTCTACTGTTGAACACACACACACACACACACACACACTGGTTCACAGGTGACGTCACGTCCTGTAACCAGTGACCATCGGTAACCTGAGTGACGTCATCAACGCTTCTCTCTGCCGCAGGTTTTATATAAAGTCTACATTTCCTTCGTGGAGGTCGGAGCGGAGAACGTTCAGACGGCAGATTATTTCAAAGGAGTCGGTGAGTTCACAGAAACGATGAAAGCGTCCTCTTCTCCTCTGGAGCTCACTCATCTTCATCATCTTCATCATCTTCCTCCTGCGCAGCCTCCTTCCTCATCGTCAGTATCGGCGGGACTCTGGTGGGTCTGGTCTTTGCCGTCATCCTGGGTTTCATCACTCGCTTCACTAAGAAGGTCCGAATCATCGAGCCGCTCTTCGTCTTCCTGCTGGTCTACCTGGCGTATCTGACCGCCGAGCTCTTCTCGCTGTCCGCCATCCTGTCGTAAGTCCACCAGAACGAGCAGCACACACGCACCAAGAGACACACATAGAGACGGTGTCCCTCTTGTCCTCTAATCAGAATGACCTTCTGTGGCATCGGAGCCAATAAGTACGTGGAGGCCAACATTTCCCAGAAGTCTCGGACCACGGTCAAGTACACGATGAAGACTCTGGCCAGCATCGCTGAAACCATCATCTTCATCTTCTTAGGGATCTCAGCCGTGGACAAGACCAAGTGGGCCTGGGACACAGGCCTGGTGTCCTGCACCCTTGTCTTCATCTTCGTCTTCAGAGCCATGGGTCAGTCCCTCCCTTCCCCCCCCCCCCGACACTCTGTCCATCTGTAACTGACCTATAATAACCTCTGTTCTCCAGGTGTGATCGGTCAGACCTGGGTTCTCAACCGCTTCCGCCTCGTCCCATTGGACAAGATCGACCAGGTGGTGATGTCGTACGGCGGCCTGCGGGGAGCGGTGGCGTTCGCTCTGGTGGTGCTGCTGGACGGCGAGCACGTCAAGGCCAAAGATTACTTTGTCGCCACGACGATCGTGGTGGTGTTTTTCACGGTCATGTTCCAGGTGAGAGCTGATGAACGTTTGATCCAGTGATGGTTGACTGAACATCACTGATCACAGTGGCGTCTGAAGCGTGTGTGTGAGCGTGTCCTGGTTTCTCATTGGTTTGTGGTGTTGAGGTCATCGTCTGTGTCACACGCTCATTTCCTGTTGTCAGGGTCTGACCATCAAACCTCTGGTGAATTGGCTCAAAGTTCCTCGTTCCACCAGCAGGAAACCGACCATCAACGAGGAGATCCACGAGAGGGTGAGAGGACCACGTCTCCTTCCTCTTCTTCCTCCTCTTCTTCCTCCTCTTCTCCTTCTTCATCTTCTTCTTCAGTCAACAACCTCTGCTCCTCTCTCTCTCCCTCCATCATTCAGATGTTTGATAGACTCATCTCCGTGGTCACAGTCACTTCCTGTTATTGATCTGATAACTTGATGATGTCATCCTGTGTCCTCAGGCCTTTGATCACATCCTGACGGCAGTGGAGGACATCGCAGGACTGCAGGGATACCACCACTGGAGAGACAAGTCAGTCCCGATGACATCATGATGACGCCATGTCCGTGGTCATGTATCATATGTCAGCGGTCACGTGTGTGTGTCGTCCTCAGGTGGGAGCAGTTTGATAAGAACTACCTGAGTAAGCTGCTGTTGAGGAAGTCGGTGTACAGGAAGAGCGAGCTGTGGGAGGCGTATCAGAAGATCAACATCAGAGACGCCATCAGCGTCATCGACCAGGTGAGAGCGAGTCGTCACTTCAGTCCTGAGGCTCTCATCAGCGGTGAACTTTCACCTCCGAGTCGCTTCCATTCTGTGCAAACGAGCAGGTGAATAAAACACAAATCTGCAGCGAGGCTTCACGTGGAGTGAAACTACGACCGGCGGCGTCAGACCCTCAATCAACATTAACTACGTTTGTGTATTTGACCCCCGTCAGTCGTCATTGGCTCATCCTCCTCCCGCCCACTGCAACCTGACTCCTCCTCCTCTCCAACATCAACGCCACCATCCTCCTCTGTTCTTCATTCTACATTTTCTCACAACATGAAAACTGCTCACGCTTTCAAACACACGACGCACAACTGAGTCCTTCACTGTCCACGTTCAGGAAGTCATGATACACACTTCAGTCTTCATTCACCCGTGGTCATGCGAGAGAACTGAGGGATTATGGGAGATGAGGAGAAATAGGGAAAAGCTTTTAACCTTTGACCTGTGTGTGTGTGTGTGTGTGTGTGTGTGTGTGTGTGTGT